GCAGTAATATTATTAATTTGATTTATATAATTTTGTATAATACAGTTATCATATTAACTAATATTTTTAATTTATTTAAATTTATTCGACAAATTGATCATCTTATTAATCATTACACAATTTTTTTAGCATGTTTTTTTAGTATGTTTTCATTAATATTTAAACTAGGAATTTCTTTCTTTCTTCATTTTTCAATTTGACTTAATTTGTTTATTAAAAATTTACATTTAAAAAAAAACTTATTCTTCAAAAATATTTTTTTCTTCGCTTATATCTAAAATTAGAATTTTTCTTTTAATACTCTTTATTTTTATTTATTTTTTTTTTTTTATTAATTTCTAAATTTGGAAATTTTCCTTTGACATTCTTTAACCTACCATGTCTTTTAATAAAAAACAAAAAAAGAATTCGGCAGGTAAATCATCGTTAGAAATAGCACAATTACAATCTAGAGCTTCACAATTTACTAAAAGCAAATTTTCTCAAATGTTGACATGTAGTAAGTAATATTCTAAGTTGTGTTAGTATATATACAGTACATGAATTTAGTAATATTTTTAATTCTATCTAAAAAGAAACAAGATCAACAATCAAAGATTCTACTTCGACAAGCGTAACTGGCAGTACTATAAAAAGAACACATGGTAAATCAACTGAGCTAGCATCCGTTGATACTACTTCAAAAAATACAACTGAAGATGCTTCTTCAAAAAATGCAACCGAAGTTACTACTTTGGAAAATACAACTAAAGCTACTACTTCAAAAAATACAACTGAAGCTACTATTTCGACAAATACAACTGAAGAAGCTACTTTGAAAAATACAACTGATACTAGAGTAGTTCACAATTTAGATAATTTAACTCTTAACGATGAGAATAGTAGAGGATTTAACATAGAAGACTACTGTGATAAAAGTGGTGAAGACACTCACTATGACATTAGCCAAGAAACTCATAGTAATCTTAGCGACTATAATAATATCAGAGACTTTTACGAAGACTATTATTCGCAGACTAGAGATAAAGACAAGTATTCTTATGATAAGGTGAAACTTATTTTACAAAAAGGAATTCAATTATACAATGAAAATAATTAATGAGAAAATTAATTCATTATACAAACTTTGTAAATTTATAGCCGATACACAACAAGATGAAAAAAGTCTTTGCAAAAACTCATCATGATGGATGAGCTCTCTGATAGTTTTTGGGGTATAAGTTATTTAACAATATTTAGCAATTTATTTAAATCTTCAAAATACTTATAATGATTATATCTGTAGCGCATTTACCGAGAAGTAACTAAAAAATTGCTTCCAACAATTTTATTTCCATCAATTACTGAGTACTGTGAAGCATTAGAAAAATATCTCGAAGAACATGCAAATCATTTTATTGACAGTATTGGAAGAAACAGTTGGATATCAATGTTTGAGGATAAATTACTTCTGGAAGTAAGTAAAAACTTAGAATTTATTTGATCTTTTTTAAAAAAAATTCTAACTTCATTTTAATTTTAGTTTAAATCTAAATTCCGTAGCAAGCTAAATGATTTAGCATCTACTATTCGATAAGCTATGTTTCTTACATTCGGTAAAAAGCATCTGGATTTTGTTGATGATACAATGACTTCAGTAAGACTTGTGGAATGGAAGACTAGTGAAAAAACCCAGAATGCATATTACGAACTATTTCAGAATCATGA